CAGTGATGCTAACCCAGCTCTGCATGCATAGATGGACAGAACACATAATACAGGAAAATAAATACATTCCTTTTGTGATGAATCAATCACAACTCTCACAGTTTAATCTTCTCCCTAAAAAGGTGGCAGTTTTCAGCTCATCCGTGCCATTCTTGCATAAATCTGTATTTTTTCTTAGAGAAATTACAAGGTTGGTAGAAAACCTGATGCCCACGCAACTAATTGTGGCACAACATCGTATCTAGGCAGCACTTGCCCTCTCAGACTCACTAAGCAATTGCTCATGTACCAAAACCATCAGTGTGGTTTTGCCTGTGCATTTGTTTTTAAGTGCAGAACTGCAAATACTTTCCAAACAAGAGGCTTATTCAGCATCTGTGGGTATGTAGTTGAGACATCACTCAGCGTCATAGCTGCCGTGCCAGAGGCTGAGAATGATAAATGATGCTCTCAGTTTCAGAGAAGCCACTGGCATCAGGGGGGAGGTTTCCGCAGAGCCTGAGGGGATTCGGCGTTTCCACGAGAGAGCGAGCAGGGCTGCTCTCCGTGCTCACCACAAGGCACGGCGCGATGGCTGGCAGAGTGATGTGCACAGGCAAGACACGGCAGCAAACACAGCCGCCCTCGCATCCCCATCCCTCGGTGCTGACGGTGTCTGCTGGCAGCCAAAGGCAGCAGACAGCTGGAAGCGGTGCTGGGGTGTGTGCCGGAGTGGGGGGTATATTTAAGGGTGTTTCTGCCTATACTGTCTGGTATCGCGGCTGGCATTTAGGCTCTGAAAGCTTCAGGGTGTTATTAAAAAGGTCAAACTGAGAAATACTTCAGGCTTTTTTTTTTTTTTCCCTTTTCTTTAAACACACCTTTTGACCTGGTTTGGAAGGAGGCTGGGTTGCAAGGTTTCCTTCTTCTGAGCTGTCTAGCAGGCACAAAATATCCCGGTGAAAACCCAAGCATTTTCTAATAGATGCATAGAAAGATCACCTTTCAGAAAATACAATATGGCCGAATTTGGTTCTCCATCAGTCCAAATACACAGTGCAAACACAGGCTCTAATTTACTAAACCACAGACTGAAATTAGTGATGGCTTTTTGCAAACAGAACAGCAAGTAAACTAACAAGGGAGTGTTTGGGACCCCACTAAACCCACACAATGATCACATTATTGCACCTCAGTACGCCATTACCCATCACGATCCTGGACACGCCACTGCCAACAGCCAGCACTGCGGTACGTTGCGGCTCTACAACCGCCGACACAGCTACAGCGGCCGGGACCGGCGGCATCGGGCAGCAGCCACCCTGTCCTGGTTTCAGCTGGGATAGAGTTAACTGTCTTCCTAGTAGCTGGTACAGTGCTGTGTTTTGAGTTCAGTATGGAAGAATGTTGATAACACTGATGTTTTCAGTTGTTGCTCAGTAGTGTTTAGACTAAAGTCAAGGATTTTTCAGCTTCTCATGCCCAGCCAGTGAGAAAGCTGGAGGGGCACAAGAAGTTGGCACAGGACACAGCCAGGGCAGCTGACCCAAAGTGGCCAACGGTGTATTCCATACCACGGGACGTCCCATCCAGCATAGGAACTGGGAAGTGGGGGAGGGAATCGCCGCTCGGGGACTAGCTGGGTGTTGGTTGGCGGGTGGTGAGCAACTGCACTGCGCATCATTTGTACATTTCAATCCTTTTATTACTACTGTTGTCATTTTATTAGTGTTATCATTATCATTCTTAGTTTCTTCTTTTCTGTTCTATTAAACCGTTCTTTTCTCAGCCTGTGGGTTTTGCTTCTCTTTTTCCCGGATTTTCTCCCCCATCCCACTGGGTGTGGGGGGGAGTGAGTGAGCGGCTCCGTGGTGCTTAGTTGCTGGATGGGGTTAAACCACGACACACCCCCACGGCCATCGTGCACGTGAAGCAACGGCTCCAAAACGGCTCCGCAGTTGGTTTAAAGGCTGATCCAAACTCTCCCAAAACCACAGCAGTCCCATTTCCAAAGGAAAAGTTGGCAGCACGTTCTAGTCTCATTTTGAGTGTTCGCATGCTGGCATATCAGCCGCATTGCCACCCAGATCCTCCTTACCAGAAGGTGCTTTATGAACTGCAAAGGGAGACTGAGATGTGTCACACTACCTAGCAGATGTCAGCTGTGAATGCAAACCAGGATGCATTAACCCAAGGCAAAAAAATGGTCTGCTTGTGTGGTGGATGGGTCAACAGAAGCCCTGAAATGGTTCTCACTCCTTTATGATCCTAACACACACCTAAAATAACAGAAGTCGCAGAGAGAAGAAAGTAAAAATAAAATCAGACTTACAAGATCATCTCACAATGGAGTCTTTCACTCATCAGAGTTAATATCCTGGAATTTATATAAGATATTGTACTTTATCTGATCATTAAAATAATTGATTAAAGCTGCCTATACTAGAAAGTTAAGTTTTCTTAGGGGAAGAAATATTGCCTTACAGTGTCCTCCTTGAATAACAAGTTTTGACAAATAAAACGGTTAAAGAAAGTGAAATCTTTATTACATTCTGCTTATTGCAAGCAGGAGATTGGATGGATTAGTTTCATTTAACTTACTACACCACACAGCTCTCGAAGGCAGGTTGGGAATCCCAGCTGGGCATCCCTCACTGTGCAGGAGCACAGGGGTCGGGATCTGCTCCAACCCTCTCAGCCCGCTCCCACCCAAACTCATCACATTTCCAGTATCACCAGAGATTCTGCTGCAGCTCCTTCAGAAGGCAGAGCACTATATACTCTGAAACACCTCTGTTCCCATGCTGCTCCCAAAGAACAGCAAAGCCAGTGCTAAACCCTTTCCAAAATCCTGCCCATGCCTGTGGAGCCCTGAATCCCTTGGCAACTTGGCTGGTATTTGCAGAGAACAAAGTAGATGCACATAAGAAATAAACATTTTGGGTTTCATTTTAACTGAAAACAGCTCTTTGGGGAAAGCCCACCACAGATCCAAGATAGCAGGTCACTCTGCAGTTCACTGCAAATGACAACAGAAGGGTTTAAATTAAAAACATTTGCAAAAGATTAAACCACTGTTAGGAAGGTTAAGGTCTCCTCACATGTGCCCAGGCTGACAGGAGGGGAACCCTTCGAAATGCACACCAAAGAGGGACCACGCTCTAGCTTTCTGCTTGGAGAAATAACAATTTGATTGAATGAATGGAAGGAAAACAGTCATGTCCAAAGCTTAGGACTTTTTCTACATTAAGGAGTATAGCTTCAAGGGCAACACTTTGTCTTGCGTTCTTCAAGTGTCAGGGGACAGTCAGGACCGTGCCACTGCTGTCTGGGACCTCTGCAGCTCCAACAGCAGTTTCCCACCTTGCTCTGCTCTGGAGGGTTACAAAATCTCTTGCCAGCCTCCAGCCATCCAGGACAACGCTCACAACGGCCTGCACAAGCCTTTTCAGCACTAATACAGAATGTGTACTTCACATTTCATATGTTTTTATTCACCTTCTATATTGATTTTTTTCTAAGTACTTTCTAGCCTGTACTTAATAAATTAGACTCTCCTTTTTGGGTATTGAAATACATTTTCATCTCACATCAGTAGTTATTGCCATTAACTACAAATTTAACTCTGCAAGTGGCACCTGGTTCCAAAGCTACACAAGAAGTATCTGCTATTGATAAAACACGTTTATAGCCCATTCACTATATTAAAAAGAAAAGCTGCCAGGTAGTTAAGTATTGCAGGATCCTAATTTTCCTGCCGATCCAGCAGAGTTAAGGACCTCACGCAGTACACAGCACCTGGACTACAATTTCCAGGCTGACCTTTAGCGAGTTGGCCATGGTGCAGTGACTCAGCATGCCAAGGGCTCCCAGCCTTACAGCCCCCTGCTTAAATGTGTAATTGTGCGTTAAACCCAAGACAGCAATTCTACAATTTCAGACACTTGCTGCCGCCCAGGGCAGGCTGGTTTGTGACGCTGCCCAGAGTCACAGCCGGGGTAGACTGAGCCAAACAGAAAGGGCACCTCCTCAAGTTTTATTAGAGGTATAGTCACATTCCTCTTTCTAGCTAGATCACATGTTTTACGTTCTAATAGTATTGACAGAGTTTTTTTGATATCATTACCATATTAAAGAAAATGAAGTGCTGCTAACTCAAATATAATTAAAACATAACAATAAAAACCTCCAAGGGATGCTCAGCAGATGATGTAAACTGATCTATGCGAATTTCAGACACATTGACCATTATGAACAAAATGCACAAAGGCTAGCTGCACAAAATTTCCATCTGCCTTGTATTAATTGCTATCATTAAAAGGCAGACCTAAAACCAGAAGTCAATAATTATTCTCCTTCAAAAAGTTTGCTTTTAGTAAAAAACAAACAAACAAAATCAACTTCCTGTTTTTCCTCTGCATCTACTTACCTCAATGGATTTACTACAGTTTATATTCACCGCAGATTTAGCCTGTTCTAAACAAAAATACTGCCTGCTACCGTGGTCTAAGGAGGAATATTTTTGAAAGCAAAATGTCCAGTCCCAATTACAGCTATAGTCTACAGTCAAAAGACACACAATCCTCAACCTTAAAAAGGTTTTGTGCTTTCTTTGCAGAGTTCCTTATGAAAGGCTATGACCAAAGCTTCAGGGCTCAGTAAGAACATCTTTGAGTATTTTGCATGGTATGTATTTTGCTTACAAGCTGTGTTTTTAAAAACTTACCCTGCTGCTCAGGCTTACTTTAATTTTATTGCATTTCTTTATTACAAAGCTCCATCACCTTTTAAGAAAGATAAGGCTTTTTAATTCTAATATTTCTTTTAAAGCTAGAATACCTACTGTTCAACAACCTTCCAACTTCTTTCAAATTTACTGACTTTAAATCAAAATAATGACATATACTAATGAGTAAGTTTACATGGACATATTCAAAAAAAAAAAAAAAAAGGCAAAGGCAAAGCACATTTTTGCAGAACAGAAGTCTGCCCCATCCCTCAGCTCCCCCCACGCCTCCCCGCCAGCTGAGCCAGGTAACCGGAGCATCAGCATCTGCCCGACCCCAAGCAAAATGCTGCCCCACGATTGCTTCCAAGAGGGCAGAACAAGCTTCTGTGAGGTGCAAGCAGGAACTGCGGCAACACGCAGACCCACGTCCATCATCGGTGAGGCTGCTGTGTGGCATGAGTCAGCTTGAGGCAATGGCAGGACTCCAGCACTTTATACCCCATCTCAGAGTTAGATGGCCCACAGTGCTGTTAACAAAAAGCATCAGCACACCAATCTGGTTATTCTAAGGCAGTTTGAATGACAGTTATGTGAAAGTTCAGCATTTTAGTAAGTACCCAGATACACTGAAAACTGGAAAAAACTAAGAAGCATTTCTTAGCGTTAAGCCTTCTGCATGGTTTTAAGCTTCACATCACTGTAGCGCTAGCTCTTCTTCCGCTTTCTCTTGGGAAGCAGTTGATTGCTTTCTGGCATTCGGGGCCGAGATGACTTTCTTTTGTTAGCTCTCGGACCCAGAAAACTGCTTCTGGGGAAAAAAAAAAAAAAAAAAAAGGGAAAATACGGGTTTGAAGATGCTCTAAACATGGCAAATACTGAAGGCTGTATTAAAGCGCTGTAAGCAGTAGGCAGGCACGCACACGTGTATGTGTTACTGGTGATGGTGAAGAGAAATACTACTCTGTCTTCTTGTTTGAAGATGACAACAGCACCCACAAACCATCCCATTCACCCTGAGCCCACAGAGACAGGGGAGTCACGCTGCCTCTCCTCCCGTCACCAGGGACCAGTTTGGAACAGGAAGGAGCAGCAGCAACCTTTCAAATTCTTAGTCCATAAATGAGAAGAGCCCTTGGCGCTGATGAAACCACGATTACATTATATCAGAAAAGGTTGATTCGAAACAGAGCCATCCCCAGCAGCACAGCCACTGAGGAAAAGGACAAGTGGTTTTGGTCACAGTTACCCAAGAAGGAAAGCGCATGGGACTCCCATCTTTAAACAGGCTCTCTTTGCCAGAGGCTCTTCTCGTTTATGGGCAAAGAATTTTCCACTGGAAACTCAAAGAAGTGTTTTCTTTTTAGTCATGGAGTTAATTTTAAAGAAAAAAAAAAAAGTTAAACTAGCCATATTTAAATTAGACAGCTAATTTCCATCATTCAACCTCAGAGCTTAAAATTCCACATAGTGTTGACATGAAAGATATTGCTCATCCATCAATAGCTGTTACTAATTAAACATTCCTTATAAATGCACTTTTTTTTTTTATCATTTGCTAGGATGAATCCATCCTGCAGGGACTATTCACTTGGCTTAAACTGGGAATTCACAACTGAAAATAACAGCAGAAAACACTCAAATGCCAAAGTCCATGTCTCTGTTGGCTGCCACAAGATATACACTAAAAGAGATTAACAGGAACAACTCGTATTTCAGAGCTCAGTTCAGCACCACGATGGAAACAGAACTCCTGCATCTGAGACCATTAACCATGTCCAAGAAGGTCAGTGCAAATCCCAACACAATCAGATTTAGCCTGTACCTCTGGAGAAAGCATTGTGATTAAACGCACATAGCTGCAGAGCACAGAAGGAAGAGACGATGCATATGCACCCCGCTATCCAACCCTCCCCCAGTCCTCAATGCTACAAACCTTACAAGTTTCTATAATGCACGACGACTGAAGGTGCACGCCTTTCCCTCCCAGCTGTACCCTCCACTCCCCGACTTCCATTCCCTGCATTCATTCAGTGGAGAGGATCACTCATTTTAACCTAGTAGCAGCTAAGGTTTTCAAAGTCAGCGAAATTAGATACTAACAAAACCTCTTTCTATATTTCACCTTTTTCTCTGCTGCAGTTCACAATTTTGCATTATTTAAATTCAATGCAAATGCTAAGGCTGAGTTTTGTGAAATCTCTGAGCACAGTAATGCATTGCCAAAGGCAGTCCCACGCTGAACTAAAACGCACAGGCTAACTGATGAAAGGATTCATAAATGGATACACAGATGTTCTTAAAACATGATACAAATTATTTTTGTCCTTTAAATTAAGCTCTAAAGCAGCTGTTTTCAACCAAACCCAGGGGAGCTGTTGCTCTTTGTATCCATCATACCCAGCTCTTGTACATGGGCCGTATCTTCCATTCTAGGTCAAGGAAAATTTGCCTATCTCCATCCAGCTCCCTGCAGCTGTATGACAGAGCAAAGGATAATTAACCTTGGTGGTTAGGTCATTATAAGCCTCTGATGAATGACAGTGGAGAAGCACACTCTTTAGGGACAGGATAAGACATGGAAGTGATACACTAACCCTTCTCCAGAGCACATTGCATTTGGCCACTGATGAATGAAGGATCTCGAGCCGGATGGACAACTTGTCCGATGCAGCATTATCGCCCATTCATCACCTTTGCTTTTCCCATCCTAGGGCACTTTGCTAGCTCAGGGGCACACAGCAGCCTCACAGTTCTCCAAGCCAGCTGGAGCCTTTCAGCTGCACCCACTGGTACCGAACAGCCATGGCCTTGACACGGAGTTTCCCACAAACGAGACTACCTCCCTGGCCCCACACTGCCAGAGGTACTGCTCCCAACAGTCCCAGCTAGCGAACGAATCTGAACAAAATTAACTCCTGATGGTCTGCAAAGCACTTCCCAATGGTGAGACCAGTCTGACAAAACAATGTAAGGGTTTTTCTCCAAAACTAACTGCATTAAGTAAAGCTAATAATACATTAAATGCTTAATGTTTTTTCCCTAAAATTAATTGCTGCACTTGCCCAGAGACATTATTTGGCTACGAAGAACAGAAACATATACACAGACAAGGCTGTGAAGGAAGGGGCGTTTCTTATAAATTTTTACTTATTTATTTGAGATCTTCTTGTCAGGTACAATTGGCACGCTGGCACAGTTTCGGAAGAATTGCTTTGCTTGCTTACTAATGAATTGTTGAGGTCTAGCTTGAAATATCCTGTCTATCGGTTGACAGAAAACTGGTAAGAAGTAATTCCTGGGATTTGGTAAATTATTTCAAATATGATTATATAATTAATATAGAGAAAGAATGCTAATTTGCTGTTTGCTATTACACTTCAAGCCTCTCAGTCTTGTTTTGCATTTTCTTCACAGGGATGCTGTGAGCACTCCAGAGGACTCTAACCCTGCTGTGCTACTTTCCATGGCACTGTGCGATACCACCTTTACAAGGACTCGTTTATGCCACAGAAAAGCATACTAAATGATGGTCTGCAGAACTCCAATAGCTATGTCATGATAAGGAGTCGGTAATATAATGATCTCTTCATTGCCACGTGTTATGAGGAAGGAGCTGGACCACAGCAAGCACTCACAGGCAGGCCAGGCAATGATGGTGCTGGTGCGTGCAGCAGAGGTGGAAGACCGCCCAGGTACTTGAAGCCAAGTATCTTAAACCCCGATGGGTTTGTATGGCATGTTCTGAAGCTGCAGAATGAAAATCAAAGTTGCATTCGTCTGTACTGTTTTATGTTTGCTTTGGCACAGCACTGTTCTCTGTCTTAGATCAGTATTCTCCCTCCAGTAAATAAAAACCTAAACTTGATTACCTATTTAAATCCAGAGAATATTATCTCAAAGTATTTCCAAATGTCCTTGTAGCTTACAATGGCAAAGTAAACTCTGTAGCAGTCTTCATCTCATACCAAATATCCCACTGACAAAATAATACTTATTTGAGTTTAAAGTGCTTGAGGACAACTGATTTTTATTTTTACTTCCATAAATACTTTTACAATCCTGCCTCTATTTATAAGTATTTCATTCACTTTATAGATGACCTTATACCTTTTATTATACCCAGATTTTGTTCTATAATGAAACATCCCATTTTCTACCTTTGTTTTGCTGAATTTAAGACAGGATGCAAACATTAGAAAAAAATTAACATTGAATTAAATGAGGAATTAATAAATTATTTTCCATGCAAATAAAAAGTTTTTATAAAAGAAGCTGAAAAAATGGGGAAGTTAATTACAACTTCCACTAATCTAAAGCTTTGTAACTTACCACTAAGCCAGAGAAGACATAGGTCACAGAACCCTATTCCAAGAAATAACTGATTAGAATCAATCTAAAGACCCACCCTGCAAATACTATGCCCTTTGTCTTAACTGGGAACCACTCACATGATTTATAGCTGCTTATGTAAGTTTAGAGAGTGCTTAAATAAGATGCTTGTGTAATAGTGGAGCCCAAGAAGGCTGCAAGGTACAAACAGCAACACAGCTGCACCACCTCCACGACTCGCTCGAATATCCAGACAACACACCACTCTAGCTAGATACCATCTGGACACCTCAGTGTCACTGTTGTTATGTATTTCATTACAGTTTTCTTACTTATCGAGCCTTTCAGTAATAAACAAATAACTAATTCCTGGTAAGTAACATTTTAGGTTGGCCAAAGGGACAGAATCTGTACCCAGTACCAGCACTGGTGACTTCAGAGGAGTCTAAAACCAGCTTGTGCCTCAAATGCCAATATAGAATTTGCATAAAAAACAACCAGTAACATATCTGAGAAAACACACACCTGCACAAGAATCACTCCACTGAAGCAGTGTGACATTTCACCAGAGAAAAGGGTAATAATGTCCAAAAACATGCTGGTTCATGAGGTTCCACTGTACTATGGGGAACTTGTGGAGGATGCAAGATATTCAAAAGGTTGAAAAGGGGAAATAGAGCAGCTGGGCAGGGGTGACAGGACACAGAGGGGCACAAACCAGATCAAAACATTTGTTTTTCATAGAATGCCCCCCAGGAGGGTCAGCTATAGCAAGGCCTCAGCTGGAACACCAGAACAGTGTGTATATGGAACATTGTTTTTCCCTTTTCCTCCAAAGGAGGCTAGTAAAGAAAAACAACTAAAGGGATTAGAGGCATAGGGAACACGACTTATAAGGGAAGGTTACAGAAACTGGTTTTGTTTCCTCTGGAAAAGATACGACCGAGGAGAAGTGGTAATAGTCTTCCAAAGCGTAAAATTTCCACTTCTCTCCCTACCAAGCTTATACATGTCACTCACTTTTCAGCAAAGAAAGCACCCTTTTAAAGATGACAACAGTTAAGCAAATTATCACTAGGAAACTGTGGAATCCTGGCCACCAGACATCTACATCAACCCATTAAATACAGACCCAGCAGCCCCTTTCCCACCATCGCATGGACAGGATTTATGAAGAGACCAGATAAATGACTGGAAGCCTAGTAATTTAGCAAAGCCCATTTGTGTTCCCAAACTCCATCTGACATTGTTTTTACTATAGTTACGAGGAATACAAATGACTGCACCTGCAAATCTTGAGACAGAAAAATATTTTCTTATTCATCTGGCACCTCTGTGGGTTTGTCTTGACCTGAACTTAAGCACGCCAGATGTCAGCTAACACCTTCAGACAAGAACACACATATCCTGAAAGTCTGGGGAAAAAACAAGTAGTATTGCCAATCCCAACTACTCTAGAAAGCATAATATAGACCCCAA